ATACTTTTGCTCATATTTATCCGTGAATAGTTTTATAGTTTGTTGCCATCCCAGCTGATAGCATGTATTCTTTGTCATCTAATTAAATTATTTCCTGTTGTGGAAGATGAGAATTTAGCTTGCCTTGCTTTTTTTTTTATATATATACATGTACCTATCCCATATCCTTAATTTTATATAGAAAAATTTTTGTACTGGTATTCATTATAGCAGTAGCTGCAGCATTTTTTAGCTTACCAGTCTTCCTGATCTGCATTAACTCATTTTTAAATTTTTATTTTGTCTTCTGATCTCTTCCTGTTTGGAGTAAGTGTCTGTCATAGATCTAGTGAGACAGAGCTCTCTGCTTCTGTTGTGTGACACTCCCCCAGTTTACTATGCCCTCCATCATCCTAGTTTTTCCTCATGCTTTGGTTGAGCACATTCTTCCATAGCTTTAGGAGAAAAGGTGTGTGGGAGATGAGTGGTGCTGTGCTAAATTGTGAAATCCTGATGCAGCATCAGAATCACCATGTGAATAGTCTAGATCAAGAGAAAATCGCCATTGTGGAACAGACTTCTTGGATATACAAATAAATCTAAAATCTTAGTAAGTAAAGTTTATGTATGGATCAGAAATGACTTACCGTGCACTTTGCATGTTGCTTAGTTTTTTTCCCATTTGAACTTCAAGGTAGCAAGTTGACATTCTGATTTGAATTATTTTATAAAATGTAAAGAATTATTTCAAATAGAACTTTTTCCATAACTATTGCTGGCCTAAATAGAAGTAAGTTACTATAGATGTTAGTAGCTACTTATGATTACATCTATGCTGGCCAGCCATGGAATTATGGTATAGACCAGTCTGCTTTGTATTAAATTGTTCCACACAAAATTAGATGCCCATTTTTTGGTAGGTCAGTATTCAGATAGGAGCAGTTTCATATCATTGAGCCTAAAGCGTTGATAAACATGTATTGTTTCACAGCAAAATGAGTTTCCTAGGGTGATTAATCTGATGTATTCTTTTTGTTTTTGTGGTGCTGGGGACCTAACCCAGGGCTTTGTACACGTCAGGTAAACACCAGTAAACTGTTATCCCAGTTTTCTCTAATATATACTGTCAAGTTTTTCCTCCTTAACTGTTGGAAATTTTTAAATGGTTTGTATTTTAAAGCAGTAGCTTTCACAATAAACTGCATTTTATTCTGAAGTCCCTATTGTATTTCAACTGATAGCATCCCATTTATACATAGCACATAAAATGTTTGCCATTCCATGTTTAAACTTTCTAAGTTTCTCTGCTGCTGGCTTCCACTCGGATCTCTCAGGCCCGCTGTAGTCACTAACTCCTGTCTAGCTCCTCCCAGGTCCTGTTCTTCCTTCTATGCTCTTTTCCATGTTTCCCCTCTATAGAGTCCCTTTGCAGTCATTTTTGCCTGACTTTGGGGTAAAGGAAAAGGGAATGTGGTGTTTTGTTTTGTTTTGTTTTGTTTTTCCAGCTCTCTTGTTAATTTTTTGGTTTGCTTTGGTCTGGTTTTTGACACAGGGTAGTCCCAGCCGTCCTGGAACTCACAGTGTAAACCAGGCTGGCTTCAGTCTCACAGAGAGTCTCACCACACCCCTTGAGTTAACTTTTTTGTACATCTGTTTTGTCCTTTAAAATAATCAAGGGGTTTTTTGTCTAAAAAAAACTCTTGATTTTGTAGTAGCCAAAATAAAAATGGGATCGTGAATCATATAAAAATATTCGGGTTACATTTGACGAAGAAAACAGATAATTAAATACTACAAATTAACTGTCTTTTTAGATAATGGGGTTTTTTAGGTTTTTTGTTTTTGTTTTTTTTGTATTTTGTTTTTTCCCCCTTTGTGCAATGGTTTTTCCAAGTACTGTTAAACATGCTTGAATTTCTGTTCAAATTAGTAGATTTTCTTTCTTTACCCACTGAAGTATGGGCCTGAATGATAATACTCCCAGAAGTTACTGGTAATTTATAAATGTTTATTTAAGAAGCTGGGCGTGGTGGTGCATGCCTTTAAACCCAGCACTCAGGAGGCAGAGGCAAGTGGATCTCTGTGAGATTGGGGTTAGCCTGGTCTGCATATTGAGTGCCAGGCCAGTTGTGGATACAGAGAGACCCTGTCTCAAAAAATAATAAATAAATAAATAAATAAATAAATAAATGTATGCTTATCAAACCATATGTGCCATTGATTCATAGGAAATATTCTTATAATCTTAGGTAAATTAAGAAAATTATCTATTTAGTCCCAGCACTTGAGAGGCGGAGACAGGCAGATGTCTGTAAGTTCAAGGCCAGCCTGGTCTACATAGTGAGTTCTAACCAGCTGTGGCTACACAGAGACCCTGTCTCTAAAAGACCAAAAAGAAAAAAAAAAAGATTATCTATAATGCCAGCACCAAAATATAATCTATGGTCAAGCTTTGTGTTACAGCTTTTTGTAGTTAATATACACTTATCCATACGAAGAAAGAGAAACAAAAATCAATTAATTTGTGTTTCATTATTGTGATTTTTCTCTTTATGTAACATAATGTGAATGTTTCTATGTTAATAAGATGTATATGTTCATCTTTTAACTTCATATAGTTACTTCTTGGGTTAGAGAGAATTTTTTCCCCTTTTGCGGGGATGGTGGAGACAAATAGAAAACCTCTATTAGTTGAGTAAAATTTTGTGTTTATATCTTTTTTTAATATTTTGTTATTTTTAATTTATGTTTATGCATGTATTGCCTGCGTGTAGGTAAGTGCACCCATGTCGTGCAGTGCCTGCAGAAGACAGAAGAGGCTGTCGGATCCCCTGGAACTGGAGTTAAAGACAGTTGTTAGCTGCCACATGGGTGCTGGGATTCGAACCCAGGTCTTCTGCAAGAACAACCAGTGTTCTTAACAACTGAGCCAACTCTCCAGCCCCGTGTTTATATCTTTTTTAATTTTATTTTGCAAATTGGTACAAAATGTATATTTTGTTGTGTGTTTTGTTCCTTTGCTCTTTGTCTCAGGTCATGCTAAATGTGTGGAAGTTGTAAAAACTTTTAACTTGCCATTACTGATGCTTGGCGGAGGTGGCTACACAATCCGTAATGTTGCTCGGTGTTGGACGTATGAGACTGCAGTTGCTCTTGATTGTGAGATTCCCAATGGTGAGTGTTCACGCTGTAGTTTCTTTTTGTTTATTTTATGTGTATGACTGTATTGCCTGCATGTGTGTAAGTGCACTTGTGTCATGCAGTGTCTGTGGAGTTGGAAGAGGGCATTAGAGTCCCCTGGCACTGGAGTTACAGAAGGTTGTTAGCCACCATGTGGGTGCTGAAAATTGAACCCGGGTCCTTTGCAAGAGCAACCAGTGCTCTTAACCGCTGAGCCATCTCTTCTAGCCCCTACTATAGTTTCTACCTGCCAACATGTAGAATCAGATGAATGGCTGAGTCTGCAGCCATACCACCCTGGCTGGTCTGACCTAATCTGATGAATGAATGGTTAGATTTCAAATTTATGAGAGCATTCTTTATGTGTTCACTTTTAATATTTTCTTTGGAAATATTTCTCTATTTGGATCTGGATCTGGGTTATAATTATGAGTTTGTATGGGAGTTGAGCTTTTTTTAACTCCTTTTTTATTATTCTTAATAGAATTGCCATATAATGATTACTTTGAGTATTTTGGACCAGACTTCAAACTGCATATTAGTCCTTCAAACATGACAAACCAGAACACTCCAGAATATATGGAAAAGATAAAGTAAGAAATCATTTTATGTTAATGAAGCTTTAGGGGGTTACAGAAAGTCAAAAAGAGGAGCTTATTTTAGCTTTGTACAGTGTGTATTTCCTTTGTCTTTTTGAAAAGGATTTGAAATCTTTTTTTTTTTTTATTTTTATGTGTATGAGTGTATTGCCTCCATGTATGTGAGTGCACCCGTGTCATGCAATACCACAGAGGTCAGAGGTCGTAGGCGCCATGTGGGTGCTGGGAATCGAACCCAGGTCCTCTGCAAGAGCAGTCAGTGCTCTTAACTGCTGAGCCATCTCCAGCCCCGGATTTGAAATCTTAATATTGATTTCGCTATCAGGTTAAAGCAAAAGCATGACTTTTATAAATCAAAAAATTTTTTATTGTTTATGTGTATGATGAGTATTTTGCTTGCATGTATGTAAGTGCACCACGTTCATTCAGTACCTGGGAGATCAGAAGAGGGTTTTGGACCCCTTACAACTGGAATTGAACAGTTGTTAGCCACCATGTGGGTGCTGGGTACTGAACCCAGGTCCTCTGCAAGAGCAGCCAGTGCTCTTAACCACTGAGCCGTCTCTTCAGTCCCAAAACACCAATTTTCTACATCCCTCATAGATACATAGTTGTGCTATCACTTAAAAAACAATAATGAAGCACCCTCTGTTTTGTAGCTGGTGGATGACACTAACACAACAAGGAAAGTGGTGCAGTATGTTGTAAAGCCAGGTAAGAGCTGTTGGGTTTGAATTTGATGTTAACACTGTTGACAAGCAGAGCATCTAGTATTTTCTGTACTCTGTACTACATGGCATATAAAAACAAGACAATTCACCTCTCTTAAATGGCTTTCCATCCACTCTGAGTTTCCCTCTACAGTATTTTGCTTGCATGTATGTAAGTGCACCACGTTCATTCAGTACCTGGGAGATCAGAAGAGGGTTTTGGACACCTTACAACTGGAATTGAACAGTTGTTAGCCACCATGTGGGTGCTGGGTACTGAACCCAGGTCCTCTGCAAGAGCAGCCAGTGCTCTTAACCATTGTACCATCTCTGTAGCCCTTGAAATTTTTTTGTTTTGTTTTGTTTTTGTTTTTTTTGCTAAGGCACTATAAATTTTAGCTTTTCTTGCTTTACGTTGAAGTGATTTATTTGCATTAAAGCTTTGTTTCTATAAAGTGCAGAAATATTGTAGTGTACTGGCATGGATTTGTGTCTTCTACCATAGACTAGCTGTATGACATTGCACAAGTACATTTGACTTAGTGCTTGTTTTTTCATCATTAAAATGAGGGGTTAAATGGTACTTATCCTGTGAGTTATGAGGATTAAATTAGTAAATTGTCAAGAATCAATGCCTAATTGTTATTTAGTTCATTGGTTAGTTCATTGGTTAATACAAAATGAAATTTTTGCTTAATATTTCCACTTGCATGTAAGAGGAACTTCATAGAAAATGAATTTTATCTAATAAATTGTGTCATTTAGACAGCGTTTATTTGAAAATCTGCGTATGTTGCCACATGCACCTGGTGTCCAAATGCAAGCTATTCCAGAAGACGCTGTTCATGAAGACAGTGGAGATGAGGATGGAGAAGACCCAGACAAGAGAATTTCTAGTAAGATAATGCCCTGAGAGGTCTCAAGCCTTAATGGTATCACCAATTTCATTTTGTGTGACTTTGCAAACAACATAATTAAAAGTTTCTGGAAATTGGCTACTTAATGTATATGTGCAAAGCATTCCATTTGTTCAAAGTAGTAGGAGTTGAAATGTGGTAACTGGTTAGAATCTGTGTGGGTGTGTAATGACTGCAAAACCAATGTCTGTTTTTGTCAGTTTATTAAAATCTTTTACGTAACAGTTCGAGCGTCAGACAAACGGATAGCTTGTGACGAAGAATTCTCAGATTCCGAGGATGAAGGGGAAGGAGGTCGTAGAAATGTGGCTGATCATAAGAAAGGAGCAAAGAAAGCAAGGATTGAAGAAGACAAGAAGGAGACAGAGGACAAGAAAACAGGTGGGTTGGTTTTTGGTAAAGGTTTCATTGTGCGTCTTCACGAGCTGCACTGCCGTTTTGAGGAGATCCGGAGTCAGCTGTGTGTCAGCAGGGTCTGTTTAGGGGACTTCCCTGTGTAAGGGATGCTTAGCTCTTCACTGTTGAAAGCTTCAGGCTGCTTTGAAAGCTGTAAAATGCTTGTTAACTCATATTTGCTTTTGTAATGCAGGAAACTTTATTTCCTTCTCTTAATAACATGGACTGTGGTAGAATATTGGGTAAGAAAAAGTACAGAGAAGTTAAAACCCATTTGTCCTCTATGGGCAGAACTGAATCTTATTTCTTGGGATTTTTTGAAGAGTATTTTTGTAGCTCAGGGTAGGCTTGAACTCATAGCAATCCTTCTGTCTTATCCTCCCATATGCTGGGATTTATAAGCATGTGCTAATATACCTGGCTCAAAACTGAAACTCTATAATACTTTTTAACTGCTTAAAGTTGATTTAATGAAAATGAAGAAAAAGTTGAGTTATCCTTAGAACAGTTGCATTGCTTTAAAAGTGAGGCTGGGCCAGGTGTGGTGGTGCACACCTTTAACCCCAGCACTTGGGAGGCGGAGGCAGGCGGATCTCTGAGATGACGCCAACCTGGTCTACATTGTGAGTTCCAGGCCAGCTGGATCTATAGGGAGACCCTGTTTGTCTCAAGCAAACAAACAAAATAAATAAATAAAAATATAAAAGTATTCTTCAGGAACTGAAGAAAACAGGAAAGATAAGAAGGGGTTGGGAGCTGGACTACAGACTACTTTCTGATGCCTTAATATGTTTCAGAATGCTTCATTTAACATGTCTTCTTATAACAGCTTTTGGAGGTTTACATGTCTCGTTGCTATGTTGAACTGTGCAGGGGTAGGGAATGTAGCCTTGTAAATATCTGTTCCTCATACTAGTAGTGATAATGAATACAAGGTTTAGTTGACCTCCTAATTGTTTTGGTTTTTGAGGCAGAGCCTTGCTATGTAGGCCTGACCAGCCTGGTTACTTACTATGCTGGCCTTGAACGCAAGGCAATCTTCCTGCCTCCGACTCTGGATGCAGGGGTCACAGACATGTACTATCGTACCCAGCTCTGTCTCTTTTCATTTTTAAATCCTTATTATTCTGTATTTTCTTCCTTCCAAATAGGAAAGTGCTCTGGTAATTATCTTCCATTGCTATGTTAGACAAAATTATTGCTATTTTAGACAAAAGACAAGGAAACAGTATAAGCCAAAACCTAGAGTGAAGACTATTCCTTTCTCTTCAACACCTTCACTCCCTTTCGGCATTTTGAGTAAGAGTTTGCATAGCTAAAAGTAACCAGAAACTAGGATGGAATAAAATTTGTATTGTCAACACATATTTGTATGGTAGGTGTCTCAGTCTTCTGCCACGCTTGTAATACCCGAGGATGCTGGTGTTCCTGTGCTCTTGTCAGTAGGTCATCATCTCATAGCTCTGTTGTCCTTAAAATATTCAGCACATTTAAGACAATTTGCTTTTAGAATAGTTATGGTATTAGTTATATTAAAATGGAAAACTTTGTATTTAGTGATGGTTAAAAGTAAAAGCCTAAGCAATAAGATTTAGTTTTTGTGGCCAGCAAGGTGGCTTAGAGGTTAAAGGTGCTTGCCACCAAGATATGTGACCTAAATTCTGTTTGAGGGATCCTCATGTTGGAGGGAAAGAACCAGCGTCTGCAGGTTGCCTTTTGACCACCATGTGTGTGTCATCGCATGTATGCCTGTTCTAGTATGGTTTCTGTTGGCTGTGATAAAATACTGACCAAAAGCAACTTGGGGAAGGAAAGGGTTTATTTCACCTTACAGTGTACAGTCTATCATGTAGGGAAGCCAAAGCAGGAACCTAGAGTCAGGAATTGAAGCACAGACCAAGGAGGAACGCTTTCTGCTGGCTTGTTCCATTGGCCTGTGCTTAGCCTGCTTAATACAAGCCAGGACCACCTGCTAAGGGGTGGTAACACCCACATCAACCATCAATTAAGAATATGACTCACAGACTTGGCATTGACCAGTCTGGTGGAGGTGATGCTTCAGTTGAGGGTCCCAGTTATATCAAGTTGACAGCTGTAACAATGGATTTAGCTTTGCTTGTCTCTGGATCATGTTGTCTGACTCTACCTTTCTTACAGAACAGCCACGTTCATCTTTAGTTTCTCCTTCCATCTTACCAAGTACCTCCTTGCTTCAAAGTCCTCTTAAGATTTTTCTCTATGGAAGAAACCTCCCAACCCCCTGAAAGTCTGTTCATCTTTGGGATACTATGTCAATGTCACTTCCTTGTTGTAAGCTCTTCTGAGCGCCTGTCCTACACTCTGTCCTCTGAACTGTTTTGACAGCACCTGTCCTACCTGTAATGCTGTGATGCTTCTGAACCAGAAGGGCAAAGGGCAGGGCCACATGTTGACAGTGTGGACCTGCATCACTGAGCACAAAACCTAACAGCAGTGATTAGTGACTGAATTCATGAATAGTAAGACTGCATATGACAACTTTTTTATATTTTAAAAGTAAAGTATAATTTAAGTATATACATTGTATATTTCAAAATAAGTTTTAATCTTTTCTCTGCTACATTTTCAGATGTTAAGGAAGAAGATAAATCCAAGGACAATAGCGGTGAAAAAACAGATACCAAAGGGTAAATTGATGCTCCTTGTTTAGTAATGTTTTTGTACTATGAAATAATGAATGTGTTTGAGAGGAGCTCTGTCTACCTGAAAAGTTCAGGGCTAAACCTAACACCATACATGAGAGATTTCTGTCTGTGGCACTAGATGTAGTAGTGTATGAGAGACTGCTTGCTGTTGACCTTTGTATATGCATTCATGGTTTTCATGGTGCTTGAATTTCTGTACATAGTTTTTATAGTTTGGGGAAACAGGGTAGTTTAAGAAACATTGGATTAAGGTAACACACTGTAAGTGAAAACCTACTGGAGGATGTTGTCAGAAAGTGTGTGGCTGGGTATCGTGGGTCATGGTCTCAGCATACTCAGGAGTCAGAGGCAGAGGGATTGCTGTGAATTCAAATCTAGACTGAGGTACTGGGGGCTGGAAAGATGACTTAGTGGTTAAGAGCACTGCCTGCTCTTACAAAGGACTGGGGTTCAGTTCCCAGCACGCACATGGTGGCCAGCAGCCATCCATAACTGCAGTTCCAAGGGATCCAGCACCCTCTTTGGGCCTCTGCAGGTGTTGCATGCATGTGATGCAGTTAACACACACAGGCAAAAGACCCATACACATAAAATTTTAAAATAAGTAAATGAGACTGAGCTACATAGTGAGTTTCAAGCCATTCTGAGCTAGAGAGTGAGATTCTGTCTCAAAAGGAAGTTAGCATGTATGTTGGACCACACACGGTTTATGTGCTAGTTTTCAAAGGATAACTTGGAATTCTGTATAAAGCCGCCAGAAAGATGAAAGCATTCATTACTCAAAAAATAATCTGAGTTTCTTGGCATGAACCTACAAGACTCCATTAGTAGGATAGGTTAGTGCATTTAAACCAAGATTATGCTGTTTTAACATTTCATGTTGTGTCTTTCAACAGAGCCAAGTCAGAACAACTCAGCAACCCTTGAATTCAGCCCTTTTTCCAGCTTTAGGAAACCATTTTAAAAGTGAGAAAATACTGATACGAGCAATGTTTTCTGTTTGAAGACTTTCAGCTTTGTTTTATACTACTTTGGCATGGACTGTATTTATTTTCAAAATGGCTTTTTTTGTTTTTGTTTTTCTTGGCAAATTTTATTGTGAATTCTTCTAATTATGAAGCAAAATTTCTTTTTTCCACCATGCTTTATGTGATTGTATTTAAATTGATGTGTTATTATGTCAAAAACTGATCTATTAAAGAAGTACTTGGCCTTTCTGAGCTGATTTTTTCCATTTTTTGTAATTATCTTTATTAAAAAATTGTACTTGGATTGTCTTCTGCCTATTTATTATAATGTGAAAGCTTATTTCAGAGCATACTAAACATGATTATTTTCTGTAGAATTAGAATATACCAAAGGTGAAAGATAGCAGTAACAGCTTGAAAATAGTTTTTAAGGATACTTATTAACCGTAATAGTTATTTTTTTAATTACAGTAGAAATTCTGCCACTTTGCCATTTGTGACTTAGTCGGTATTGGTGAAGACTGGCATTTCATAATTTATTACTGAAATTCATAAGCTATGCAACGGAAACAAGAACTATCTTTGAACTGAACCAAAGACTAATTTCAGAATTGAAAAAGAAAAAAATCTGTATCAGGAAACACAGCTGTTAACTTCCGTGTTTAGTTGTCTATGTGGTTTGTTGTTTCTTCCCGGACGCCCACCGTGTACCAGATTGATGAAAGATTGTATGGCTGTGTTGGATCCGAATGCCTCTGTTAGCAATGCAAAATGAAATCTAGCAAAACCTGCATCTTCTACTGTAGCTAGACCACAGCCAGGTTTTCTGTCAAGGAAATAAATACTTAGATTATTTGTCATTCAACAGCTAATTATTGATTACTCATTTTAAAATTCTGGGACCAGTGCATCTGAATATAATGGTAAAAATGTGTTTAAGCTCATATTGTGATAGTAGAAATTAGACAAATGTGGCAGTTACTGCTGTGGAGATATGTAGAAGAAGAAAGAATTTTAGGAATGCGCCAAGATTGGGGAACTATTTCTATTTAATCAACTGAGATTGTTTTGAGATAAAAATGACAGAATGCTAGAAAACAATTTAATAACGGATATAATTTGTTACCCTGTTAACCCTTTCAGACATTCCCCAAAGCATTAAGGTTTGTTTTTTTTTTTTTTTTTCAGTCTTTTTGGATACACGATCTGTGCCACCGTGCCCAGCAACACTGAGATTTTTATAATGAATAGCCAGCCACTCACTGGAGTTTGACAGATGCTTTATTTTTGGTGTGCTTGCCCCAGTGTTTTAAAGACAAGGTTGCAGCCCTCTTTGTGCACTTTGTGGTTTACTTCCCACTCCAAAAGTCACCACTGCCCTGAGGTTTGCGGATTACCCATGTTCTTACCCCTTTAGTCTGTATATATTAATACTCCATAAACTTTTATGACATTAGGAGCTATGGAACTCTGGTCCCTTCAGTGCAGAAACAATACAGTGTTGTGGTAAGTTTGTGAAACACCTAAATGCATTACTTGAACACTTCAGTCTTGTGATCTGCCCTTTGACACATGTAAGCTTAATAATTCCTATTGTGTTCTGTTGTATGAAATATTGGAATTCTGTAGGAAGATACCACAGTGAATCTCGGGTGCGTTTAGGAGATTTTGTTCTCATAAAGACTGAAGAAATTTCAAGTCAGGTGGTTTGGGACAGCAAATGCACTGTTATCAGTAATGTGTGTTAGACAACAGCCACATCTTTTGGAAGAACAGATTCCATTTACAATAGCAATAACGATAATTTATGCAAATGTGTAAAACTGATTCCTTGTTTAGTGGAGGAGGTTCTAAAGACCTGTGTAGTGCCAAACTACGACAGCTTTGACAATAAAAACTGTATGTACATTAACAAAAAATACAAGCTATGTAAAAAAAATAAGGTGGGGGTAGGAGGCAGTATTGTGACTTGTTTCAGATAAAAGCTATTTTCTTTCTTTTTTTTTTTTTTTTTTTTTTTTTTGGTGTTTTTGAGACAGGTTCTCCCTATAGTGGGGGCTGGCCTGGCCTGGTGCTCACTATGTAGGGAAGGCTGGCCTTGAATTCACAGAGATCCACCTGCCTCTGCCTCCCAAGTGCTGGGACTAAAAATTAGCTTTTAAAAGCCAGGCCACCATGCCTGGCTTTTAAAAGCTAATTTTTAAAAGATTGAAGATTTAAAAAGAAGTTTGATGAGACTCATGGGTAAGTTAATAAATCTTTTGTACTGAATTTGACATCAAATTACAAATCTGATTCAAAATTTCATTTTGAGAACCAAACATTTTTAAATGTATTTCATACAGAACAGCTCAAACAATCTTAATCATATTTATTACCTCTCCCCCTCACTGGAGCCCATATACTCTGTTACCCCTATTAAGGCCCACTGGGTTGTCAGTGTCCCCAACCGTTCCCCAGTGCAAGTCCCTCCACTAACTCTAGTCAGCCTCTCTAGACTCCCTTGTTTTAGGAAGACCAGTTCATCCAGCAGCCATCATTTGCCAACATTCCTTCAGATAAGATTGGGGGTCTGCTGTTCATTGTCCCAGTTCTATGCTGGGTTGTCTGCCTGAGTTTGCATGGGACCTGTGTATGCTGGCACCTCCTCACATTTTATGTACAAGTAATTCAGAAGACTTAGTTGTGTAACATTAAAACAATCTCAATTTCCTTTTTTTATTTTTTATTTTATGTGTATATGTATTTCCTGTATGTAGGTAGGTGCACCCATGTCGTGTAATGCACGTAGAGGTCAGGAAAGGGCATCAGGTCCCCTGCAACTGGAGTCATGAATGACTGTTAGCCATCATGTGGGTGCTGGGAACCCAGTCCTCTGCAAGAGCAGTCAGTGCTCTTAACCAGTGAGCCATCTCTCCAGCCCCACAATCTCAGTTTTCTGTAGGGTCTAGTTAAATGATTTGTGTGAAAGGATGCTGTGCATTACAGCCATAATGGGTATGAAATAGTGGAAGATGATCAAGATCTTGTCAGTGAGAAAAAAAATAAAAAGGATATGTGATGTATGGAGAGATGGTTCAGTGGTTAAGAGCACTGGCTATTAAATGTCCTTGCAGAAAACCCAGGTTCTAATCCCAGTACCCACATGGCAGCTAACAACCACCTATAACTCCAGTTCCAGGGGATCCAATGCCCTCTTCTATCTGTGGGCATTGCACAGCCCAGATGCACTTATACACATGCAGGCATAACATACATGTAAAATAAAAATACCAAGATTTGATTATCCAGGTTCCATCCTCGGGGAATAAAGTATTGACTGCTTTCATGGGGGTTTGAATGCTGAACCATGTGAGTAGTAGAATTTTTATAAATCCAAGCAGATAATTCCAGGTCAAAGGGAGAGCAGTATTCTATACACTTCTTTTGGACCTGCTAGTCCACAGGTTAGATGTGCTGGCACGGTAGTGGCTTTGTTTCTTTCCATATGGCTAAAAATTCCACTGCCAAAGATAAGACTAAGGGTCATCTGGAAGAGTTGTGGAATGGGAAAAATAGCTGTATAGTTTCATCCTTAAGATTTAAATTTAAAAACCTAAGACCTGGGGGCTGGGGAGAGGACTCAGTGGTTAAGAGCACTGGCTGCTTTTGCAGAAGACCAGCCCGTGTTTGATTTCCAGCACCCAGATGGCAACTGACAGCTGTTCATAACTCCAGTTCCAGGGGATCCAGCATCCTCTTCTGACCTCTGTGGGCATTGTATGATACAGGTGTACTCACACACATGTAGGCAATACATTCATACACATAAAAAAGTAATAAAAGGTTAAGACCTGCCAGGTGTGGAGGACACCTTTGATCCCTGCGCTTCAGAGTCAGAGGCTGGTCGCTTAAGACATAATCTAGAAACCCTTTCATTTATGAAGATACTGTCTTGTCCTTGGTGCTTCTTAGTGTACCCTATTCTAAAACAGCATCGGTGTATACAGGGTAAGCCTGGAACTACACCTCTTAGCAAAGCTGCGATCATTCTGTCAAAAGCTGGCTCTTGAGCTGGAAAGATGGCTCTGGTTAAAAGCACTGGCTGATCTTGCAGAGGACTTGGGTTCAATTCCCAGCACCCACAGGACAGCTAACAACCGTCTGTAACTCCAGTTACAGGAGATCAGTACCCTCTTGCTTCTGTAGGCCTTGCACTTGCATGCAGGCAAAACACTCAGACAAATACACTTAAAATTTTTTTGAATTTTTTTAATTAAAAAGCTGGCTCTTTCAAAAATATTTTTTATTTATTAGTGTTGTGCATGTGTGTGTGTAAGTGCGCATGTGGAAATCAGAGAAGATTTTTGGGGAGTTGGTTCTTCTACCCTGTTGAGACTAGCTGACCTGTGATCTTACAGATTGCTCTGTCTCCACATCTCATTTGGAGTGCTGGGATTACAGATGCATGACACTGTTATACCAGGTATTGTTAAGTGGTTTGGGGGATCAAACTCATGTCATCAGAATCCCACAACAAGGGCTTTTACAAGCCATCTCACTGGCCTTTAAGTTTTTTTAAAAATATTGAGAATTTCATACATGCATATAAGGTGTTTTGATGAAATCCATGCCCACTCTCCAACTCCTCCCATATCGCCCCATCACTTTTTTCTAATAACTTCATGTACTCTTTCTTCTTTATGATTTTTATGGGGCTTTTGCCTAACAGTCCCCCCCTCTAAAGAAGTAACCCTAAAATTTTTTAAGGATTAGAAAGATCCCAAATACTTTCGACATTTTTGGCCTTTGGAATAGAGTATTTTGTTAAGAGGCCTAAGGACATTTTGACTTTTAGCCAAGAAACTGGCTACTTTTCTTTGGGGTCTTTTTACCCTAACTGCCTAACCAATTCCTACCTCCTATTCTTAGCACACCATCCTCTGAAGAGATTACCCAAATTGCCAATAGGGAATAGGGATGCAGACTGCTCTGGTTTCTTCCATGCTGAACAGAGACGCAGGGTGAGGCAATTGGAGTACCCCTTCAGTGGGTCTATCTAAAAGACTCCCAAATTGCATAACTCTTATCTCTAAGGGGAAAAGAAAGTCCTTGAATCATGAATAGAAGATGAGAAGGAGAAGTAAAGGCCAGAGTGATTAGCATTACAAGTTCTACACAGGGAACTAGAAAAAACCGGCAGTTTTCAAATGTTCATATGAGAGTCCATTGGAGTTTCTTGACAAGGGCTTCCGAAAGCATCCCTTTAATGGGTTCT